TTCCAAGTTCATTAGGAATTGAACCATTGAGAGTTTGAGGAGAGGTCAAGGAGTTGAAGATGGGCGAGTTGACCAAAAGAGGGAGGGATTGAGCCCGAGAGATTTGTGGAAGAGATATTGAGAAGCTGAAGCATTATTAAAGAGGATAGTTGAGGTGGTAAAGAAGAAAGATTGGGAAAAGTGTCAGGGATAGAAAGTGAAATCACTCTAGATTGTGGTGAACAAGTTACACCTTTCGATGAACATGGTGTTGAGGTTGAAGGGTTCCATGAAGAGAGAAGAGAATGTGATGATGTTGCAAGAGAAAGAAGTGCTTGTCCATCAGGTGAAATAGAACTCGCTTCCATCATACAAAAAAACAGTAAGAAAAACAAGAAAGTAGCCCTAGTTTAAGAGAGAACTAGCACATGCATGATGCTTTTTCACACAAAAGTTTTAAACACAAGCATGTGAAACAGAAAGAGAAATAGTGTCAAATAGTATGTTTAAGAAGGAAGATAGTAATTATTGAATTAGGAGAGACTAAGAGACATTTAGGTTAAACCGTGTGTCATGAAAGCACTACGGAGACTTTATTATATATAGAGAGATTACAACTAATTACACTATATAATCGATGTGGGACTATTCTACATACAAATATCAACACTCCCCCTCAAGCTGGAGCATATAAGTCAAATGCACCAAGCTTGCCACATATATAATTAGTTCTGGGGCTTCGCAGAGATTTTGTAAACACATCTGCCAATTGATCATTAGAGTTGACAAAGCTTGTGACGATGACGCCGGATTCGATCTTCTCTCTGACAAAGTGACAGTCTATCTCAATATGTTTGGTCCTCTCATGGAAGACTGGATTTGAAGCAATGTGCAATGCAGCTTGATTATCACATACAAGTGTCATTGGTCTTGCTTCTTCAATTTTAAGTTCTTTGAGCAACTGTTTTAACCAAATGAGTTCACATGTTGCCATTGCCATGGCCCTATACTCTGCCTCGGCGCTTGATCTTGCAACTACATTTTGTTTCTTACTTTTCCAGGATATAAGATTTCCTCCAACAAGTACACAGTACCCAGAGGTGGATCGTCTATCAATTGGTGACCCTGCCCAATCAGCATCAGAGTATCCAACTATCTGAGTATGTCCTTTATCTTCATACACTAAACCTTTTCCTGGAGCACATTTGATGTATCTTAGAATCCGGATAACAGCATCCATGTGTTCCTGACAAGGGGAATTTAAGAACTGACTTACCACACTGACTGCAAAAGAAATGTCTGGACGAGTGACTGTGAGATAATTCAACTTTCCAACCAATCTCCTATACCTTCCCGAGTCTGATAGAGGCTTCCCCTGATTGGGTAGTAGTTTGACACTTGGATCCATAGGAGTGTCAACTGGTTTAGCGTTCAACAAACCTGTTTCTTCCAAAATATCCATAGCATATTTCCGCTGAGAAATCACCAAACCATCTTTAGATTGGGCTACCTCAATACCCAAGAAATACCGGAGTTTACCAAGATCCTTTGTTTGAAATTGATTTGAAAGATGTTGTTTCAACTGGAGTATTCCCGACTCATCACTACCAGTTATGACAATATCATCTACATACACAATAAGATAAATACACCCTTGTACTGAGTGACGATAAAAGACAGAATGATCAGCTTCACTACAGACCATACTAAATTGTTGTACTACAGTGCTGAATCTGCCAAACCAAGCTCTCGGAGATTGCTTAAGACCGTAAAGAGACCTGTGTAGCCTACAAACCATATTCGATGACTCCCCCTGAGCAACAAACCCAGGTGGTTGCTCCATATATACTTCCTCTTCAAGATCACCATGTAAAAATGCATTTTTGATGTCAAGTTGATGAAGAGGCCAGTGTCGAATGGCTGCAATGGCTAGAAGAAGTCTAACAGATGCCATCTTGGCTACAGGCGAGAAGGTATCACTATAATCCAACCCAAAAATCTGAGTGTATCCCTTGGCTACCAAGCGAGCTTTAAAACGATCAATCTTACCATCTGGACCAACCTTCACTGTATAAAGCCAACGACAACCTACTAAAGATTTTCCAGTGGGTAGAGGAACCAGTTCCCAGGTACCACTGCTTTGAAGAGCACACATTTCATCAATCATTGCTTGCCTCCACTCAGGGTGAGATAATGCTTCACCTGGAGATTTAGGAATAGAAACAGAAGACAAAGAGGACAAACAAGTATACTGCAAAGGGGAAAGACGATGATAGCATAAATCAATATAATGTGGAGAAGGATTTCGTGTTTGACGTATACCTTTGCGAAGGGCAATCAGAAGATCAGACTCAGGTTGCAGGATCGAATCCGGTGATGGCGATAGCGTCGGAGGAGAGTCTGCAATGACCTCAGGGACATGTACGACCTCAGGGACATGTACGACCTCAGGGACAGGTATGACAGACGTTGGTTTACGACGCTGATATGTTTGAAGTGGACGAGAAGTGGGGGGGTCAACCGTAGGGGTTTCTCGTGGGACAGGTTCCCTAGAATGATGGGGAATAATGGGAAATGGGACGTCCGGAAGAGGTGTGGGAGTACTTTCCTGAAGGGGTTCCGGAGTGACTTGGGTGGACGCAAAATATGGCACAGACTCGAAGAAGGTAACATCGGCCGATATCAGGTATCGTTGCAGAGTGTGTGAGTAGCAACGATAACCCTTTTTGGATCGATGATAACCAAGAAAGACACACTTTAGTGATCGAGCTGATAGTTTATCAAGACCAGGGGAGAGATTATGCACAAAACATGTAGACCCGAAGACTCGAGGAGGAATTGGATGAAGAGGAGAGTTTGGAAACAAGATTGAATGAGGGATTTTATTATTAAGGACAGATGAGGGCATGCGATTTATGAGATAACACGCTGTGAGCACAGCATCCCCCCAAAATCTGAGAGGGACATTACCATGGAGAAGTAGAGTCCGAGTGGTTTCTACGAGATGCCGGTTTTTGCGTTCGGCTATCCCGTTTTGTTGAGGTGTATGAGGACAAGATGTTTGGTGTAGAATACCATTGGATGACATAAAAGTTTGAAATTGTTGGGATAAATATTCACGAGCATTGTCACTTCTTAAGGTACGAATGGACAAACCAAATTGGGTTCTTATTTCTCGATAAAATTGTTCAAAAATAGAAAATAATTCAGATCTGTTTTTCATTAAAAATAGTCACGTGCAACGTGAAAAATCATCAATAAATGTTACAAAATACCTAGACTCAAAAGTAGACACAGTACGCGATGGACCCCAAACATCGGAGTGAACTAAAGCAAAAGGAGACGCAGCCCGTTTATTGACTCGATCAGGAAAGTGACTACGAGTATGTTTCCCTAATTGACAAGACTCACACTGTAAAGTGGATAATTTAGATAAACTGGGCACCAACTTTTGTAGTTTGGGAAGACTTGGATGACCTAACTGCGCATGTATAATGAGTGGAGAATTTGTGGTGGAGCATGTGGTAGATGACGTAGAGAAGTAGTAAAGGCCTTGAGACTCACATCCGACGCCAATCGTCTGTCCCGGACTTCGATCCTGCAGAATAACATCACTGTTAGTAAAAGTGATAGAACAATTAAGGGAACGAGTTAAACGACTGACTGACAGTAGATTAAATGGGCAATTGGGTACATATAAGACAGAAGTAACAAAGAGAGATGGTAGAATTTGAACAGTACCGATCCCTTGGGATCGGGTTTGAGAACCATTTGCGGCAGTTATACTCGGTAAGAAATCAGAGGTAGAAAGGGAAGAGAAAAGATTTTTATTACCGGTAACATGATCAGACGCACCAGAGTCGAGGACCCAAGGACCAAGAGGAGATGATTGAGAGACGCAAACAGATGAATTACCAGTGTGTGCAAACGAAGCCGTGGAACCAGAGGTCTGGTTAGTCTGACACCACCTGAGAAAATCCTCGTAGCTTGGCGTAGGGTTCTGAAGAAAAGGTGAAGTCTGCATAGTGTACGACTTTTCGAGAGTACGACTTTCTGTGAGTCGAAAACGAAAGCCTAGGGCGGATCTGGAACCGGAGGAGGAAGGCGATTTTCCGAAGAAAAAATTTTTTTTTTTTTTTTGTGAACAGTAGCTGCGGCGGTGAACAGTAGTCCTCCAAAAAAATTTTTTTTTATTTTTTTTTATTTTTTTTTTTTTTCGTGGACTGTGCTTGGCAGAGGTCGCTGGAAAAAAAAGGTCCGGAATGATGACACGGTTTGCAGAAGAAAATTTCTTACCGGAAGACAGTGGGTCAACCGGGTAAAACACGGCGAAGAATTGCCTCTTAGAAGGCTCTAGATACCATATTGAATTAGGAGAGACTAAGAGACATTTAGGTTAAACCGTGTGTCATGAAAGCACTACGGAGACTTTATATATATAGAGAGATTACAACTAATTACACTATATAATCGATGTGGGACTATTCTACATACAAATATCAACAGTAACAGAGATTTGAGAATGGTAAAAAAGGAATAGTACTGTTTTTCTATTTCTTGTCTAGTCTTTATACCATAATGTACATCAACTATGTTTGTCTCTACTACCAAAAGATAGAGCCAAACAAGGCTTGTGATGATGTTAAGATGGTACTGAGAATAGAGGCATAAAGTGTATATCTAAGTTGTGACTTGTGAGACTTTTGGTGTATGGAACATTATTGGTTTCCATGATTTGCGTGACTGTGTTTAGAGGTAATAATGAGTAATGAGTTTGGCTCAATGGTGGTTGGTGGTAGTGAGGTAGATGAGCTTTTCTTTATTTCAAAGCACTTTGTTGAAATTTGAAAACATCACCTCTCTGTTAGTTGTATATTTAATTTTATGATTTAAGTATTGGTTAGGCTTGTTTTTTATTCATTGGTTTGACTGTATTTGATTGTGGTGTACATGTACCAAATTGACCTTCATTGTTTGTGACAGTTGTGTTAGAGGGGTTTCTCATTTTCTTCTTCTGCGCTATGGAGAATAAAGTTTTGAAGAGAAGTGAAGCGGAAGAAGAGATATTCAGTGATGAATCAATCAGAAGTCGGATAATTTTTTTCCTTCCCCTCAAAGACGCTGTTAGAACTAGTGTGTTATCTAAGAGATGCATAGATCAATGGATGAAGTATATCAGCAACTTTGAAATAGATGACATTGACTTAAGCTACAGTTACCATACAACAAAAATGTTCTTTATGCTATAAACAATGCCTAAGATTTTGCTTTGAGTATGTTAAGGTTAGTTTTCTTATTGATTTTTTATTTTATTTTTTTAATGTAGTTTGATTTCACTATTCGTTCTTTAGCTAAGCACTGATTGTAAGTTGGTTTTCTTTTAATGTAGTCTAAGTTGACGCTTTGTTCTGACTGCCATGAGCACAAGAAACCTGCCGACATTGCGAGCAATCCACATTGCGAGCACATGTTTTCTATAGATTGGCCGGCCAACAGGAAAACACTTCTTGGTGCAAGAGCAAGAGATTTTGTTAATTTTGTTTCCAGAACATTGCTTCTCATTGACAACAATAGATCAAGCAGGCCATTAGAAAAGTATTCTATAGTGATCAACAACAAGTGGGAGGACGAGCTTCTAAATACTTGGATATCAAGCATCCTTAATGGAATGGTAAAAGAACTCAAAATCCATTGATGTTTTTATAAACATCCCTTGTCTTGTGTTACATCTGGTTATCTATTCAACTCCCGTTCACTGGAACAATTGGAGTTGATAATGCATATGTTTTCCATCATTAGATTTCCCAACATCATAATTCCCCCCACCAAATTTGACAGGATTCATTTTCAAAACCTACAACTCCTTAAATTGTATGGAATACTTTTTGACATTGCTCCCTCTTGGAATACCCTTTGTTTACCACTTCTGAAGAAGTTTTATATTACAAACTGTACTTGGTCTCCCGGAGTAGATCTTACTTTGCAAGCTCCTCTACTTGAACTCATTTTCATTCAACAAGATGATGAATTTTGTAACCTGAGTCATAATGACGATCTACTGTGGAGTGAGGACAATGAATTCTATAAACTGAGTTATAAAAATACAAATGGTAAACTGAGTTATAAAAGTCTCTTGAGTAGGAATTCTATCAAATTCAGTGCCAGTCATATCAAACAATTCACATATTCTGGCTGTGAACTGAATCATTTCTTTGTTGACAATTTTCCGTCTTTTGATTATGCAGAAATATATTGGAATAAATGTAATATGTCGGAAACCATTCCTGAACGTATTCCTTTTTCCCTCCTCCGACATCACCAATTCAATCAAGTGAAATCTATGAAATTGGAGGGCTTGGACTTAGACTTGGAGGTAATACATTTTAAATTAAATACTAAATATTTGAATATTCATTTTACTTTAATTTATAACTATAGTCATTTTTATACGGTCCAGGTTCCGATAAATGATAATACATCTGAATCAAACTTGAGTCAGTTGCAACTTGACTCACTTACCGTTCAAATTGTTATGGGCTTACTTAAGAATTCACCGATTCTCGAAACACTAATTGTAAAGGTTAGTCCTTACCTATATTATTGATGAAATTTGAAATGCATAATGGTAGTTTTGTAACTATTTTTTCTTCTTCTTTTGGACTTTGTTTTATTCTCAGGGAATACATAGATTCGCTAAAGATATTTTCAATTCCATTTGCTTGTCCCATTCTCTAAAAGTTCTGAAGTTTGAAGAAGGTAAAGGACATGAGCTACTTTTCGTCAAATATTTCATGGAAAGGGTGCTAAAATGAAGACTTTTCACTATAGTCAAAGTTCAAACGTGCAAAAATTTCCAGAAGAACTTCAGGAGATGCTTGATAAAGTTAAAGAAAAGCTATCCAAACGTGCCAAAGAAGAGCAAAAATCTACTCAAAAACCTATTTTGCCCACTCGAAGATCTAAAAGAGTCGTCAAATTACCTAGCAAGCTGAGCAAGCTGAGAGACTAGAAGCTCCTAAAGGATAAGACCAATGAGCTGGCCTGCCTAAAAAGGAGATAGAGTAGTATTAGAATTTCTTTTTGTTGGTCCTTGCAGCAGTGACTGCATTGCTTTTGTTTTGGGTGTTTTCTTTGTTGTTAGCATGGCAGTCTGTATGTGTATTGGTTATTTCAGCAGTGAATGCTATCGTGGTTGTTTAGGGGTGCAGTTGTGCTTCTGTGTTTTAAGCGGGAAGGCGTACTTTTGTTTGTGTTAAGTTTGACTCTGTAGGTTTGAATTTTATTTAGTTGTTATGTTTCCTATGTCTCTATTTCTATGCAATACTTATGATGCAATTGGAAGTTTTCATTCACATTATTGTGCTAATGCAGTGCATACATTATTCATGTGATGGGTGATATGCAACAATCTACTCCATTAATTGTTGACTTCGCTTTTTTTAATACATGTAAAGAAAAGTGTCTAGAGTCTTCCTTGTCCAAGGAAGTCTTTTCTTGCAAAAGGCACAATGACATTGAATGATGAAAGTGGTCCTAAAAACGAGGTTGGAGCTTCTTTGAATAACATTGAACTTGGGACTGATACAGTCATTCAAATAAATGAGACAGTTGATGGAGATTGTATGTGTGATCTATAACCTATGATGATATTTCTCTGTTTTTGATGCTTCTTTTGGTGATTGAGTTTAATTTAAGTATTCATTCAGAAAAATTACCTTGGTTTTTCGTAAGAGAATTTTTTTTCTTTCATTTGTATGTTTGTTGCTTTGTTTAATTGTTTGCTTTATACAAATCCAAACACATCCCTAACTATACACAGTACACTGCCAAAGCATCCCCGATAATTTTTCTCTTAAAAACACATGTTAATTTCCCTTTTCTCTCATTGTGCTAATATGGTAAGGATAATTGTGATTAAGAGTGAAGATTTAAATTGATTGACTGTGTATCCTATCCTATATTCATTGTGTATTCATCAAAATAAATGTTACTTTGTTTTGCCTCTTCACCATCCCTCCATAGAGGTTATTGTATTCAGTTGAAGCGTGCGGTAAAATAATCAATGTCATGTACGATGATCCGAAAAAGTATGATATTTCAAAGATGGCATTGTCAAGTGTGAACTTATGCAAGAGTGATTAGAATTGCAGTCAAATATTAGGTGAAGAAAGAAGGAATGCATTGAACTAAGTTAATGATTTTGTTGCTAGTATTTTGATGTGGAATCATGTAATATAGTCACGTGTATATTTTTCAATGTAGAACCGACATCTCTTGGTATCTATCTAAATACAATGGTCAAGAATTTTACCACTCATACTTTGTCTCGCAAGACTCTGGTTTCTTCTACAATTTTGTTCCGTTCCGGCTCTTAATTATTAACTTCGACCACTTGTGAAATTTAATCCATCATTTAATAATATAATCTTTCAACTATTGTCTTCAGTTAATAATATTATTCCATGACAACTATGTTAAAAAAATAATTTCATAGACTGAAAAGATACTCCACCTCTTTATATTGAACAACAAAGGGGATAAATATTTCAATCTTAAAAATTACACAACTGATTGGGTTTACACACCAAAATATTTATTATAGTTGTCATACAATCATCATAACTAAAGACAATAGATTGATAAATTCATAACGAACAATAGATTGATAACAACCAATTGAATATACATGCTCATAAAATACAATAAATAATTTAGTGCAGAAATTAAATAATACTAATACACAAATTTATATATTTAAAGGACCTACAAACTAGATTCATTGAAAAAGTTGTTTTTGTTGGTAATCGTGAAGGTTAACAAAAAAAAAAAAATCTAATAATAACTCGTGTGATTTTTTCTCTAACAGTATTCTTAATTTCTTGAATATAATAATTTATTTTTAGATTGATGACCTAACTATAATTCTTATTATTCTTAAATGGGTTGTCCTAACTCCTATTTAAATTCATATCAAATTAATTAATTTTAAATAAAATTTAATTAATCGACCACTTAATTATTTAAAACATTTAATTTGATAAAATAGATAATATAATTAAAATATATATTTTTACATAATAATTATTAGAATATTAAAATAATATATATAAAAATATTCTAACAAATTACACCATTCCAACACAAATAAAATAAATATACATAAATAAAATATTCGTGTAAGTTGCAAAATCACATAATATCATAAATTTAAAGATACAAATATCATGACATTTTTAATAGTATTGGTAGGGGACAATTACATTATTCCAATACAAATAAAATAAATTGTCATCTGTGTTAATATTTTAGTAAAAGTTAATATATATAATAATTAATTAAATAGGATTCATTATATCATGGAGTGAGGTGATATTTCTTTTTGAGCGACATTCACCCGTTGTCTTTTCTTGGGGTGGTATGAATGGATAGCCCTAGGAGAGATCCTTTGCAATTATAACACTACATAGGTGTGATTTGTGGGTTGAGGTTGAATATAGTTCGTGCCTCTTGGGCGCGATTTATTGAATAAGATCTTATCCGAGGGGGACACTAAGTCTCTGTTTACCGTGAAATTGGTAAACAACCGCTGATCTTTCAAAAAAGATAATTTTTGGTTACTTGCATGATCGATCAGTTTGATCCTAGGACATATGCTAAATATTTGTGTTGTTTTAATAAAAATGTTAATTTTAATAAAGAACACATTCGACTGAGAAAGGTAGAGGTTTGAGATAAGTTTAAGTGTAGAAATCTGGTAAAAAGTGCAAGTAAAATGCAAGGGAAAATAAACTTTGCAAGTAAGATAAAAGGTTGTAAGCAAGAATGACAAGGAATATAAAAAGGAATGTAAAAGACTTTGATTATAAAATGTGGTGTTTCAAACGTACATTCTCAGTATTCTTTCTCACGTAGCGGGTACTCGAATAATATTGAGTGACTTGCACAATTAGTAGAACACACGGAAATCTACATAGAATCCCTATATTTATACTAGAACTAGGTAACCGTCGAGGTGTTGCCTCGCTCTAAGATGAGGGCAAATGTCCTCTGCATGCACTTTGACTTCTGTCCTTATGCCACATTGCTTTCTTCAACTACAAGGTGAACTGCTTTTCCCTCATTTCTTCAGATTCAAAATCACTTGTTGCTGATACGAAGTTTCCTGGTCAAAGGGCAAAGGCTTCTTGGTCAAACACCCCCTTTTAACTTAGAAAATTTATCTAAGTATTTCTTCCCTTCTTAGCATAGCTTCGACACAACTAACATCACAAACTCTTTTCTCGAAGCGTCTTTAACTTTAGATTTCTTCAACCTATTCTTGGCCAGTAGGACCAACATGTGTAGGTGTTGAATTCAGGAGCTAACAAATTCCCCCCCAAGAATGTCAATTTTGACGCCAAAAGAAATGGTCATTCTTTGATATTCTCATTCGAAACATGTCTTCTTTTTTGCCACAAAAGTCAATCGTGCACTTTTCGCCTTCTACCAACCACTATTGGTATTCAGAGTCATCACTACCCTTTTTCCAAGACGCCACTATCAGTCAGCCGTTTGCACGCTGCCATGATGGCCATTATCCCTACAACCTAGGAAAGTATGGAAAATGTTTCCATCACCTATACGATAACTGCCTCAATGTTCGCCATGTGCCCCACTAACTCTGCAACATTAAATGGTTTTGAGGGAATACACTCT